TGCCCTCTTTTTATTTGATTTCATTTATAATCCGCCTTTCTCAATGAGACTCAAAGCAGATTACGCACAGCTGAACAACACAGTAAGAGTAGCATAATACAAACAGCCAACAATGTAATAAAACTGGACTACAAAATTAGAACGTAATGCACCCAAACTAGTATAATATATACATAATGAACAAAACAATGTAGACTGCCTACTGTTTTCACAGATATTAACCATAACCTATTATCATTATAAAAATGCCCTCCTAAACATTTCTGTTTTACACTTTCTGTGAAATGGTAAAAGCACCAGAGCATTCCAGACCACATCAGGCAGGCCATTTTTTATTCTAAGGGAGCACTTGAAGAGGTACAATTTAACTTTTCTTGTTGTGACGAGATTCCCTCTTATTACCTACACACTTGCTCTTGTGATAGTTCTCTGAAGTACAAATATTGAATAATGAATTTTAGACATGATTTTAAATATCAAAGCAGAATTCAAACTGGCTCCGGCTCTCATCCAAACTAGACACTGTGTACGCTGTGACCATTTTTAGAGGTGAGCCTTTTAAAAACATTATGAGGATATGATCCTGAATGGGCCAGCAGTATGGCAGGAAGTAACTGTAACAACCATCATCACACATGTTACATTTGAACTCATAGATGATGAATTGCATTCTTTTATATTTAAATCAGATATTTGCTTGTTATTTTTCTTTGTTATTTGAGATACACTTAAAAAATTGCGAGCTGAACAGCTTAATGCTGAGTTCTCTAACTTTAACATCATCATCATCATGCTTAGTGTAAGCAGTATATATAATAACAAAGATCCTGTCTTGAACATATCAGGTTGGGGACTTTAATACATGGATATACTCCTGCTACTCTGTTTCAGTGTGTGTGTGTGTACTATTTGTTCCCCCGGTTTTAGAAACTTCTGTGTATCTTCCCCCTCTCACCCAGTCTCTTTTATTCAGAATCTCAGAAACTGGATTTCTTTCCTAAGAAAGAGTTATTTAGGAAATGCAAAAGACTATAAAAAGTATGAAAGAAATGCCAAAGCACTGTACTTAAGTCTACATTAGATTTTTAAATAGCTATTCATAATTTAATCACTGGTTTAGAATGTCTTGTGGTCCCTAGGAAGGGAAGGCCTCTTTTTCAAGTTCAGGTGTCTGACTGCAACATCAGGGACCCCCAGACCTTTGTCTTCAACATTTCTATTAGCAGAGACAGACTGCATGCTACATTGATTGGGAATGGCCCCTGGGCTTTCCAAGCACACAGAGAAGTAGAACATTAGGCCACAGTGAGCTCAATAGAATATGTATTATGGATGGGACATTTCCATATAGTTTGTGAATACCCAGCCATGTGCCCAGTTGGATTACAGTCAGTCCTTCCTTCCATTTTAAAATTGCATACTGGAAAGAAAAGGAAGAAGAAAAAAATGGGGAGGAGCCTTTCAGCTGTAAAAACTGTCTACTCTGAAAAACATATTGGACACTGACGAACTCTGTTCCAGTTCCATACTTATTAGACATGCCAGGCTACAGTGTGGCTGCAGCAAGACTCTGGCTGTCCAGCTCTTCTACTCACCTCACATGTTGTGCGCGAAAGGTAGCAAAATAAATTTTAAAATCTAGTGGCACCTTAAAGATTAACACAATTTATTTCAGTATGAGTTTGTGTGGGTCACAGAAAGGTAGCAATATCACATCTCCTTTTTTCCTGAGAACCTCAGAAACAGGGGTCATTTCGTAGAAAAAGAGCTAGGGGAACTCATTAGCATAACTCATTAGCATGTGCCACACCCCCTGACATCAGGGGCCCGGCGGTGGACCTGCAAGGCTGGCGGGAGTGCAAGGAAGCCCTGCAAAGGCCCTCCCTGGCCCCAGGCAGGTAGGGGTGGGGAGAGGCGGGGAGGAAGCAACTTACCCTCCCTCTTCTCCTGCCTCCTCCTGGCTGAATGAGGGCTGGAAGCGGGGCGGCCGGAAGCAGGGGGCGGGACTTCGTCATGTGCCCCGCCCCCCTGCACCTCACCCGGGGGAACTGTGTTCCCCCGCGTTCCCCCCCCAAATGACCTCTGCTCAGAAATACATTCTGTATACTCACATTCCCCATTCCCTGTCTCCCTTCTCCACACATAGTGAAGCATTTATTTGCTCATTTTTTTCTCCTCCGTATCTATCCCTCACACAGCCACTTCCCCTCCCCTCGTCCTGCTGTTCAGCATTCTTTACCTCAGCATTTCTTCTCCTCACACCTGACCTTAGCCTCTTATTTATACAGCCTTGCTCATTTTCATCTTACCTCTGCACTTCATACCTGCTGACTTCTTACTTCAGTCCTCTGTCTTTACCCTCAGCACCCTGTTTATACATACCTAATTGCATGCTCACCTCCACTTCTCACATCAGCCATCCACTGTTGCTTCTTTCCATACTTTCCCTCAAAACCACTATTATATCATACTTGACCTAAAGTTTTCTTTTGTTTTATAAGAACACATTTGCATTTTAACCTCTGCTTCATTTGTCTACATACCTGTCTGCCCAACTCCATTTGAGCGAACCGAACTTTGTCTACATACCTGTCTGCCCAACTCCATTTTACCTCAGTCTCTCATGTATTGCTTTCTCATTTTCCCTTCCCTATGCTCCACCTTTGCTGACTGTTTACCTCATCCCCTCTCATTGCTCCCTTTGGTCTTTTCCTTAGCACCCCAGTTATAATTTTTTCCCATTCACCTTTGCAACTGTATCCCTTGTTTGCAATCTTTGGTTTGGTCTCATATTTTTTGTTTACAGTTGCTTCCTCATCTTTGCTTCTTACCTCAGCATTGCCTCTGTCCTTCTCTCCCCACTTTTACCCTTACCGTCCTCTCTCTACATACCTGTTTGCTCATCACTTTATTTCACCGGTCAGCAGACAGGGGGAGCATGTCTATATTGATCTTCCTGGATTTCTCAAAGGCTTTCAGTACCATGGACACCTTCTGGACCGCCTAGTAAAGCTGGGTTTGGACCGCCTAGCAAAGCTGGGTTTGGACCGCCTAGCAAAGCTGGGTTCTGGACCGCCTAGCAAAGCACAATGCTGCCCTGCTCTCAATCCTTCATTGGATATAGTGTTCAGAAGATGCTGCTTATGGACTTTTGCTCTGTCCTATGGACATTAGCATATGGGGCACCACAAGTTTACCTCTTGTCCCCTATGCTATTTAACACCTAAATACAGTCACTAGCAATGCTCATCTATAGATTTTGGGGCTCAGTGCCATCAATATACTGATGACAACTCTCTTTCTCTTTTAGGGAGCTGGTAAGAGTTGTAAATTTTATTTATTTATTTATTTATAAACCAGTATCTGAAGTTACTTAAAAACTAAATTACGGCAATTTAAGTTGAAATCAAAATGGAAGTAACTGTGGATTTGGGGGGAATTAGTGTTTGACCTGTTCTAGAAGAGATCACTTTGCCCCGAAGGAGCCATGAAACAGCTTGGAATACTTCTGAATGCTTCTTTGTCCTTGAGTAAACAGCCTGAAGTAGCTAGACTGGTAATGAAGTAGCCTTACACTGGTGCTGCAGCAATTCCTGGAGAAACAGACCTACAGGTTACAGGTACACATGATGTGGTAACATGCATAAGATCAAGGGTAGATTATGGTAACATGCTCCTCATGGGGCTGCTCCTGATGATGAAAGCACTTCACAATACAGCAGCAAGAGTGTAAAATGATACTCAGTTCAAGTTTTTAAAAAATCCAAACTATGGTTTTAACAGCTTGGGTCCAAAGTACCAGGAGGACTGCCTCCACTTGTATCTAGCTGTTCCTCTCTTGGACAGAGATGGTACTTTCCTACAGGAACCAACTAGATGTGAAGAGAGTTTTTAAAGGACTTTTGAGCTTTTGTGTCCGATTTCCTCACCCTGGAGATGAGAGTGGCACCATCCTCACAGACCTTCTTGAGTATATTAAAGACAGTTCCATTCCAGGAGGCCTTCTGATTGATTGCAGAACAGCATTTGGTGGTTTTGATGTAGATTATTTTAAACTAAATGTTTTAAAGGAATATTGTTTAAAGCTATAGTTTATTGTTGTTATTTTTTTATTGCCAAGTTACTTTAGGGATTAACATAAGCTAACATCAGCCTATCACTTGTTTCCTTTTTCTCCAGTTTTACCTTCTTTCTCTCACACATTTTACCTCAGCTTTCTTTCTCTACACACCTGTCTATCCAACCCCCTTTTTATCTCAGCCCTCATATACACGCACTTGCTCTCACAGTAGGTTTTTTTTTACCACAAGCGCCTTCTCTACTCCCTGCTCCTTTTCTCTAGTCTACACACCTGTCACCCAACTCCATTTTTCCTCAGCCTTTCCGCCCCCTTTAAAGCCCCCTTTTCATTATACTGTATGGGAGAGGAAAGCCTTTCATATTCCGCCAGTCGATTTACGCACTTTGCGCAAGGAACGGGCGAGGTATTCGCGGATCCACAGCCAATCCTACTGCACGCTTCTAAGGTACGGTGAAACCAGCTCCGCGATAAGGAGCGATCCGCCTGGAACGCTGATGAGAAGTTTAAATTTTTCACAAACAGTGAGGGAGAATTTTTTCTCCCGACGTCAAGTACAGTGGATTTGACTGCGGTAACAATACGGATTCTTCGTAAAACAGGATCCCTTTCTTTTTCGAAAAGGTGGAGGGAAGAGCGAACCGAGTTACGTCACTTGCGTAAAGGGAGCCGACTTCTCAGGTAAGAGTAACAGGCAACTTACGCCAATTCCGACCGTAGCGTGGCCAGAGGCGGGGAAGAACTAAGGTACAATTGCGGCGCTTGCGTGGCGGACCGGGTCCCGCGCTGCGCAGCTAGCGTAAGGCAGCTCTGCCTTTCTCAGGTGCAGGGAGGGGGCGGGCTCACGTTGCCCGGCAGCTCTGGCCGGGCCCAGCCTATGGGGGCGCTGGGCGCTGTCACGTGCTGTAGTAGCCCCCGAAAGCTGCCTGCTGCGGAGCTGCAAGAGACGGAGCAAGCCGGGACGGGGCCAGGGGGCTGAGTGAAGGGCGGTAGGGACTCTCTTCTTTTGGGAGGCTTGCCGTGCACTGGGGGAGGGGCGGGGAGTGGAGCTCGGAGGGGTCGCAAAATGTACGATGCAAGGGGGCGGGGCAATGAGGAGCGATTGGGGGGCTCGATTCAAGGGGTCAAGGGATGCCGCGGAGAAGGCGGGCTAGGTAGGTGCGGGGGTGGCCTGTTAAGAGAGGGGTGGCTTATTTATGTGTTTGGAATCGTTTATTAACCCCCTCCCCCCGCGAACATGCATACGGTGTAAGCCACAACAGCTCTCCTGTGTTTTGCATGGAGCTGAAGTAGTGGGAGGGGATGGGGCGGTAGATCTGAACCAGGGTACGTTGTGGGAAGGAAGGGGTGCTGTGGGGTTTGGAGGAGGAATAGCAGCAAGGGGCTGTGGTGTGAATTCCTTAGGTCAAATGTACAATCTGAAGCGAGGCAGAGGGTTTGGGATCTTGGAGGAAGGTGCTGAGTGAGGGAGGTGGGGTACCTGACTCAGGGCAGTAGGCAGCAGTTGTAGGACAGTGTGATCTGCAGTGAGCTGGCTATAGGGCTGGAGACAGAGAGGATTGAAGGGTGGCTAGGAAGGAGTACTTCTTAGGACTGGGTGCACAGAAGTAGGTAGAGAGCATCATGTGGCCTGTGTTGCCACTGGATCTAGGAATAAGCCTGGGGATTCTGAGGAGGGAGGAACCACTGGGCAGCTGATGGGACGCAGCAGAGGCTGTGTTTTGCAGAGTGGTAGCAGCAAGGGAGAGTGAGGAGGATTGGGGGGGCAGCATTTGTGGGTGCTGGTTGTATGGCAAGTTGGGTGTGCGTGCGGAGTGATGGATGTGAACACCTGCAGGATGGAAAAGGCAGGAATATATCTTCCAAGAGGCTGGAGGCTTGTAACCTGATAATTTGGGTTGGGAGTTCTCTTGGAGGGAGGCAGGCAGGCAGGCGGGTAGGCTTAGTCAGGCATTGTTTGGGAGGAGAAATATTCAGGCCGAATTGGCTGCTTCTGGGTTGTTTGGTTCACAGTGTCTGGCAATGAGTAAAGAAGCCCTTGAGTGTCTACCTGAGGTTAGGTTGGATCCACAATGAAGTTAGTAAAAAGGTGGCATTTGCCCCATCTGCTCATGTTTATGCAGCAAGCAGGGATTCTTATCTTCTAAAGCAGTTGTGAATCCTGTTTTGTATCTGCATGAAATTCAGTGGTGTGGTGATACATGCAAGATTTTGAGTAATGCAGGACTCTTTTTCAGAGGAATTCTGGGCACAGATGTATCTATAAAGTTTTCCTTTTATATGTATTCCTGATGTCTGACCAGAGGAGAACTCCTGGGGACTGGTATGAGCGTTCTATTGTCTTTTCTTGGGGAAGATACCACTTCCACCGATTATATCCAGCCTTTAATTACAAATGCCAGGATTTTTTAAAACATGGTTTTTATCTTGTCTTGTTTTTTTGCTCTACTTGTAATGTGGTATCTACTAGAAAGAAACCTATGGCTTGGAGTGACTTTGTGGGGCAGTTGTGTTCAAATATACTGGGAGGGTTGCTGTCATGGTTATGTGCAAGCTTACAGGGGGGGGGGGAAGACAATGTGGAAGTAAAAGGCAGGATGAGAGCTGGATTTCCAAAGCACCGGTAAATGGTGAACAAGTACTGTCCAATTCTTCGCAGACAGCTGAGGCTAAGTATGCCTCTTGTGGAGAATTTTGCGAAGCAGTTCTGTCCAGGAAGGTGATCACGAGTGGAGCTAACATTTATCATAGGTGCTCCATTCCACCTTTTGAAAGGGGACAATTTTGATGACAGGAGCATTTCCTTGCTTGATTTTGCCTCACACATACCTCAGCTATTAAAATCCAGTCTCCATACACCTGGCTTAATGCATCATATTGTCTCTTAGCCTGTCCTGATTTTTCCAAATATGAAGCATCTGCACTTCCTAGTGGCTTACGAACACACTGTGCTGTCCCTGTGCAGCAGTTCCAAATTTGGTAGCAATTCTGTATGCAGTTTTTAATTGAAAAGTCTCATGCTTTGCTTCCCTCACCCCTTGGATTTGCTGTCTCCTGATTATTGTTAATCATTAAACCCAAAGTCTGGAGTAGAAGCTTGGGGAGGAATGCAGACAGAAAGAAGAGCAACATCTGTAGAAGGTGTCCTATGGGATGGCTACAGCTGTGCTGTGCTTAGTATAAGGTTGGAATGAAAAAGTAAATATTTTTCAGCTTGTCTCCTGATTTGTACTATTGGACATCTGTGCTAAAGAGCTGACTTGCCCTAAACATTTTATAGTCAGACAAGATTTTCCTTTAGAGATATGAGATGCCAAGTGACTTTTGGCCAAGCCATGGCATTCTGTTTTTGCTACAGTCTCCTCTGTTGTCTGTGAGTTTTAATGATCTTTTTGTGAGCTTTACTTGAGGTTTTTAAAAATGTGGTTAGAATCTGCTTCTAAATCCCATAGCATGTTTTCTAGCAGGCCTGTAAATGCTCAGTAACCACTTACCTGCTTGTGCGAAGTCAGACTCTCTTCTAAGTGACCTAAGGAGACCTTGCAAGTACCTGTGGACAAATTGAATAGCTGAAGGTTTTGTGGGCTAGTAATTCTGTCGACTTGCATGCAGTGTAGTGTGGTGGGTAGAGTGTCAGACTAGGATCTGAGAGACCCAGGTTCGAATCCTCAGTCTGCCATGGACGTTTGCTGAGTGACCTTGGGCCAGTAAGACACTCTCAGCATCACCTACCTCACAGGGTGATGGTTGTGAGGATAAAATGGAGGAGAGGAGAAAGATGTAAACTGCCTTGGATCCCCACTAGGGAGAAAAGTGTGGTATGAATGAAGTAAACAAACTAAAGGCCCGTGTTTGGTCCGAAAAACATTGCTGCTATACATATTATACTAAATGGATGCAGTGGTTATTTTCTGAGAAGTTGGACAGGAAGGCCATTGTGGCTCAGTAGTAGGGCATAAGCTTTACATGCCAAAGGGCTCCAGGATTTTGTAAACTTGGTGTTGGGAAAGACTTTTCTGTGCTTGAGAGCCAGTGTCAATCAGAGGAGACAGGACAAGGACAGGGCTAGGTTGGCTACTGGTCTGACTGTGAGGCAGCAGTGTTCTGAACTACCGACCTTCTAGCCTGCAGTTCAGCAGTTCAAGACCCAAGTGCCGCATGACGGAGTGAGCTCCAGTCTCTGGTTCCAGCTTCCAGCTTCAATTCAGATTGAAGACAGTCCCCACTGAAGTGAATGGAAGGTGCACAAACCTAAGGATCTCAGAATAGAGTACGATATTTATTTATTCAACTTTTACCCCACCAAGGCAGGCTCAGGGCGGCTTACATAAAAACAATAAAACAGTATACATTTTAGTTTAAAAATACATAATGAACAATTTTAAACCATTGGTATATTGATGGCGGCATAATATGATAAAGTGCATTTAAACACATTCGGCGGTGTAACCACTTAAGTAGCTTCAACTAGACATAGATCGGCTCGGGGCCTAGCTAATCAGGGCAGAGGAGAGCCCATTTTTATCCTCAGCCTAATCAACTGTAGAGGATTGTTGTAAGAAGCAGAGTCTGGCCCAAGGCCACCCAGTGATCTTCATGGCTTGCAGGAATTTGAACCTTAGAATTCTCAGTGCAAGTGTGATATTCTTTTCAGACAGACGTCCTTGTTAATGTTTGAAAGGTTTGTGTGGCTGAGAGGAATGAAATAAGCATTATATAATTTAAAAAATGGACAAATTTAAACTGATTTCTTTCCTTCCCTTCACTGCCAAATGAGAGAAATGTCGAGGGGGGTAATATAGGGCCCTGCAAATAGAACTTAGCAAAGAATGTTTAGAATGTTCAGTGTGATATGGTTGCTTGTAACAACAGGTGCCTTTCAAGGTAAGAGGTATGTCCCTTTAAGAGGGATCCAAAGGATAAGATGGAGTTGGTTTGTTTGGGGCCCTGTTGGATAGAAAGAGAGATAATTATAAGAAAGGCTGAAGGTGGATGATTTGGACAGACTTGCCTTAATTTGGAATTGCCTTTTAGAAGGAAAGGATACAAAGGCCTCCTAAATGGATCCTATTCAGTCTTTATATATAAAGTTCTCACTTTGTGTAGAGAATTCTGTAAGCCAACAAAGCAGTACTTCAGTGCCTTTTCCAGGCTGTGAAATATCCAGTTTCTTTGTGCGGATGCTCAAAAGGGTTGCTGTAAGCTAAGCAATGGAACCTTTGTGGATTTTTGTCAGTGTGCAGGAATAAGAAATAGATATGGGAAGGTCTGGACTGGCCTTGCCTTTGTTGTATCTTTGTAACTCCGCTGCCACTGATTCTTGCATACAAGCTAGTGGTATCTTTTTATCAGTGTAGATTGAGGACAAGCTTTTGCATTGCACGCAACTGCTCATAGAGTGGAAGATGGCTTTGTCTGAGATATTTAAATGGAGGAAGGGCCGTCTACAGGCAAAGTTTTGTTTTTATTTTGTTTAAGATAATGGCCTGCTCATGTACCTTTCTTCCCCTTCATGTAGACACAATGGGGCTCTGTTTCTCAATGGCCTCTCCCTCCCTCCTCCCCCCCTCTTCCCCAACAGTTGCTAGACAGATTCCTCAGGAAGTTTACAACCATGGTATGATAGGCAACAGTTTTCCTCTGCTTCATCTCTTTCAGTTGTCAGATTACAACAAAGCATAGTATGGTCAAGGGCTCTCGCAAACAGGTGAATATAGGACAGGGGATGGTCCCTCTAGTCACGGCACAGGTCAGTCTGTCCCATCATCTAAGCACAGTAGTAGATCCACCTGTCTGTGTTAATATTGAAGAGCAAAACCAAATTCTGAGCAGGACTGCTTGTCCGTGTTTTCTTGGAACTTCCACAGCCGTAAGAAAGTTCTGTTGCTTGTATTATTTAGAAAAAAAATAGCTGGCATTTACATGCCACTTTTTGTCTGTTTATTTAGATAACTTTTATGCTGCCTTTCCATAAACAAACACAATCAAG